TTCCAAAATAGAAATGAAAAATCGAAAACAATCTCCAACACAGAACCCTGAGCACTCCACCGGCGACCTCCTTCGTTTTGGACTGCTCAAGGCGTGGGGGCGAGCAGCCGATCCACATCGATAGATTCAGACGCAAAAAGTCAAATTCGAACTGCATTACATCAAAACAGGGAAAACAGGCCAGAGCAGCTTCTGTCACAAATGTTCAAAGAGGTCAGAGCAAAACGGCCTGTAAACATCCCTGAAGCAGATCAAATAGACAGATGGAAAAACACCCGGCTTCCAAGCACAGCTGTCACTAGAGCAGCGGGTTGGTTCCAACCCGCCCCAGGATTTCACCCAGGGCGGGCGGGAAGGGACAAAAATCAAGCCTGGTGATCACTCCTTCTTGGAGCCAAAATGGCCCGGTCATCGGCCAGCCGTCCTTAGTTGAACAATATGCGGAGCAGCTAGCCAAAGAGGTGATCACCCAGTTATATAAATAAAAGATGGAGCATAAATATATATCCAGATCGAATATAAATGATGATCAAGGATATATAAAGGAGATCAAAGATTTATGGAGAGAGCAGCCTCTGAGAGTCCTCTACTTGTCCCAAGCCCACCTAGCCGTTGACATGTAAACGACTCACTGCAGGCTTAAACATGGAACTGAACAGTTCCATTTCTCTTCCATCAATCTTTCCAAAATAGAAATGAAAAATCGAAAACAATCTCCAACACAGAACCCTGAGCACTCCACCGGCGACCTCCTTCGTTTTGGACTGCTCAAGGCGTGGGGGCGAGCAGCCGATCCACATCGATAGATTCAGACGCAAAAAGTCAAATTCGAACTGCATTACATCAAAACAGGGAAAACAGGCCAGAGCAGCTTCTGTCACAAATGTTCAAAGAGGTCAGAGCAAAACGGCCTGTAAACATCCCTGAAGCAGATCAAATAGACAGATGGAAAAACACCCAGGCCCTAGACTTTCCGATCAAAAGCCTTCGGCCATACTGGATCAATGGTGCTCCATCCAGCACGCTCGCCTATGTCAAGTCTCGAACGAGACGGCCAATCAGCTGGATTGGCGTCCGTGGAAACTCGGTCAATAAAGATACGGCATCGCATTTCTAGAGCCAGATCCCAAAAGACCGAAATGATATGACACATGTCTTCCCGACTAGAGTAGCCCTTCACGAGCGCAGCTTCGACTGCTTCCGAGTCGATAAGTAAAATGATATCAGCACCTACTACGCGATCGGAAAAAGAGCTCAAAGCAACCACTGGAGCAATCATTTCGATAGGCATGATCTGTGTGGTTCGTTCGAGCCACTGTTCTTTGATCCATGCCGGAACTTCAGCAGTGAATTGCCTAGGCTGTTTCAAACGTCGATCAAACAACACACCCCCGATCCGATCAGGAGACCGATCGCTGGACCTCGGATCTGGTGTGAACCCGTCAGTGAAAATAACAGCGTCAGCAAGCCTACCGCACGCTAAATCGATCGGCCGCGGTGGCCCTGCTTCGATCAACTTTCTCCACTGAACAAGGGATTCAACCAGAGGGGGGTCTAATTTGAACTCTTGATTATGAGGAAACTTAAAATACTGCCGCTCAGAAATAGGCCTCAAAAATGCACGACCCACTTTGCCCCATAGTTGCGAAGCGCCGAACATGAGCTTGCCCTTGAGCTTGCCAGCAGTACCAGGATCCAGACAGCCTGCAGCCAAGATGGAGTCAATCTCATCAAGGAGGTCAACCTTCCTCTCTGCTTTGATCTCAAGTTGAAGATCTTTGAGATTGTAAGTGACCCCCAAGATGGTCGGCGTCTCCAACAACTGGAGCTTCTTCTGATCAAAGCTTGCACCTAACCACCAGTGAACACATTCCGCAACATGTCGAGCGCTAGCCGCCGATCGCGACGTCTCAAATCCATACTTGTCGTCATAGAAGCTGAAAGCCACCAGACCAAAGATCGAGACAAGGAACTCGTTGATGGCAGCAGAGCGTCTGTTGTAGTTATACACCGCTGACACCAGGCCGAACGAGTGGCCTACCATGACAAAGAAAGCAGGTTGCCTCGAGCACGGGGATTTCAAGCAGATCACGGAAAACTTGCGATGATCTGGTCGCACCGCGATCTGGCGGTATGCCTTCCTCTCATCCAATACCCAACCTTGCAGATCGTCTTCAGGAGCCAACGTCCTCAACTTCCTGAGCGCAGCCACGTTCGAGTCAGTCGAAGGCAGTTGCAGCTTCTCTTTGATCTCTGTGATTTGATTGATCAAGTTGGTCGTAGCACTATCGCAGCCCCTGACCTTGTTCTTCTGCACGACCTCGAACCTTTGTGTCGGGATCCAGTCATCTTGGCCTAGGAGTTCTGTGATCTCTTGTTCTGTAGCAAAAGGGCCCAAGCATGAGCCTTCCTGAACATCTTCAAGTGTAGCCTCCCAGATTTTGACCAAATTCTCAGTGACAGGGACAGCCCTCACTCTCTGCACGATCTTTGAGCGCAGATCCCAGGCCCTATCCAAAGCATGTTGAACTGACAAAACTTTCTGAGGCTTGTCGTAGGGCGGCCAACGCCCCGCCTGGCTGATAGGCCCAACGATCGGGAAGCCTTGCAGCAGCAAGCTGGGCAATGTGCGATCAACAGAGCCACAAGCAGCGAGCATTTCATCGTAGAGCGCCACATGGCATACCCGGCCCAAAACGGCCTGGGCAGGGTGGTCGCAGTTGAGCAGCAGTTTCCGCAAAGCCGGATCCGGTTGTTGCATGATCAGCTCAACGGACCGGGGCAACAAAGCAAGAGCTCGCTGGTGCCAGAACTGCAAGAGCTGAGCCCGCTGCTGCACCACTGCCGCAGGAGCAGTAGCCACTTGAACTAGCGCCCGCTCGAGCGCACCAGGCAAAGCCGCTGAGCAAGTAAAGGGGTGGATGACTGAGAGCACCCACTGCACTGCTTGCCCCGGCTCAAGTTCTACTTCCAGCAAGGGTTTTGTAGCACCGCGCTTGAGCTGGTAACCCGCTTGTAGAGCCTTCTGAGCTGTCGCAGCTTGGCGATGAACCGCCCAGGGCTTACCAGAGAGCAACTCACGCTTGCGATCCGCCGCTGGCACCTCCAATGCAAAGGAGGCATGAAGATGCCGCAGGGAGCGTAGCATCACTTCTTTGATATTCACGGCAATACACGAGCACAGAATCCAAGGGTAAACCTGAGCGCCCTTGGTGCGAAAAACCCAACGTTGCAAGGTCTCATGCCACACTTTGCCTTGGAGCTTCTCATGCTTTTATGACATAAAGTTGAAAACAAACCAAAACACGCGGGAAATGAAGTCGCTATAAACCAATGTTTCAAACGCGCGACTACAAATCTAGAAACTTAGTGAGGCTATCGCCACGGTAAGAATAAACAACACATATATATCGATATATATATATACATATATATATTCACAGCTGAAATGCAAAGGACAGAACGGTCTGGTCTTTTTCCAGCGCACGGCTGAACGATTGGGGATGTTCAAACGGTCTTTCGAAAAATTCACCCTTTCGAGAACTCTTGGTTCAAACTTTCTGATCTTTTCAATCCCTTGACTGAAAAGAAAAGCACTTCGCTTTTCTAAGGCGCAAACGCCTCATGCGCACTTTGCATTCTTGGTTCTGAAGTTTGCTTGACAAACTGCAACTTTGTTTTTCCCCAGTTGAAGTTTGTGTGACAAACTACGACTTCGTGTTTCTCAAGTTTGGTTGCGTACTTTTGGAAATTTTTGGGTTATGGGTGGGAGGGACAAAAATTGGAAAAAGGTTTTGAAACCCTCCGCACCCGCCCTTGACTTGTAAAATACCGGACATACATTGAATCAAATTCACAGATTGATTTTAAACTCTTAGTGTCATAAAAGGGGGTTAAATTTAACCCCTCTTTCGTCGCAGAAACGGTTGTGACAACAAAACAACGTCTGGAGAAACGACCTTGAGACCTTGCATAGAAAAAGGTGTTTCTGTTTTGAACCTGAAACATCACGTGTGTAAAAACGTCGTGAAAAAGAGCAAGCACTTTGCTTGCAACGCACAGTTGGTCTTACCAACATAAAACTTGTTTCTTCAGTTTTTTTTGACGTGAGAAAAGGTGTTTTTGGTTTGCAAGAAAGTTGTTTCACAACTTCCAAATGAATTCAACTTTGTTGCCATAATTCATCATGAGTTTTCAACTCAAGTATTGCTTATGACATAAAGTTGAAAACAAACCAAAACACGCGGGAAATGAAGTCGCTATAAACCAATGTTTCAAACGCGCGACTACAAATCTAGAAACTTAGTGAGGCTATCGCCACGGTAAGAATAAACAACACATATATATCGATATATATATATACATATATATATTCACAGCTGAAATGCAAAGGACAGAACGGTCTGGTCTTTTTCCAGCGCACGGCTGAACGATTGGGGATGTTCAAACGGTCTTTCGAAAAATTCACCCTTTCGAGAACTCTTGGTTCAAACTTTCTGATCTTTTCAATCCCTTGACTGAAAAGAAAAGCACTTCGCTTTTCTAAGGCGCAAACGCCTCATGCGCACTTTGCATTCTTGGTTCTGAAGTTTGCTTGACAAACTGCAACTTTGTTTTTCCCCATTTCCTTCAGCCATGCTTTTCGTCTTGCAAAACGGTACGGCGTTTCTTGGACTCAAACGGGCAAAATGCTTCCACAAAAACATAGTCTGGCAAAATTCTCACGCAACTCTTTCCACCTGCCTCTGGAAGGCAAATCCGAAATGTGCGACTGAGAGGGGACTCTGCAAAACCAAGGCAAGAACGGTCGGTCACCATCAAACTTTTCAAGCAGGATCAAAAGAGATTTCATCACATCTTCCGAACTATATCCTTTGATAAGAGCATCAACACACACTTGCAATCGTCCATCCTGTCCTTCCATATGTGTCGCGCGACACACACTGCGTACAACTCAGTCAAAGCAACCGGATGTTTCTTTCCAACTCTCTTCCAAGACTCTACACCTTCGGAACTGACATGCGCCCCAAAAAAAACTTCAACCCGCCTCCATCTCTTGGGTCAAACAAGATTCCACCCACCGTGCATGCTATGTCATCGCCTACAGGTTCACAGGCACCATCTGTAAACAAGACAAGCGGCATGGAAACACTTTCAATCTTCAAAGACCTCGGCACAGCTTTAAGGTACCTCGTAAGCAAATTCTCAAGAGCATCCACCTGTGCTGCCGAGAGTTCAACACATCGAGACTCACTACGTTCCATGGCTCTCAGCTCAGACAAGGTCAGCCGTCCTTCTCTTCCCATAATTGACTTTCCACAAACAACGCTCTTCCAAAAAGTGATGGCAGGTCTTTGGTGACAACTCTGCCGGAAGAAATGATATGTTGCACGGTGGACTTAAGCTCGTCCATCAACCTTCAAAGACCTCGGCACAGCTTTATGGTACCCCGTAAGCAAATTCTTAAGAGCATCCATCTGTGCTGCCGAGAGTTCAACCCATTGAGACTTACTACGTTCCATGGCTCTCAGCTCAGACAAGGCCAGCCGTCCTTCTCTTCCCATAAATTGACTTTCCACAAACGACGCTCTTCCAAAAAATGATGGCAGGTCTTTGGTGACAACCCTGCCGGAAGAAATGATATGTTGCACGGTGGGCTCAAGCCCGTCCATTCTGTTCGGCTTGTTTGCAACCTTGATCGTACCAGCACTGGCATGCTGCAGGTCGAGCATGACTCCAAGCATTTCTGCTGTCTCCGCAAAGGAAACTCTTTGCCCAGAGAACACTCGAACCCAAGCATCGAGGTCAAAGCCTTGATTGCCGCGGACGTGTGATCCGCAAGCACTTTGAAATCTACTACAGGAAAATAATCATAGTAATTCGTCCACGCCACATCCAGTTGCAAGCCCAACATATGCAAAAACCTCGAGATCCTATTGAAATGTAAAACAGATGCCACACTCCGAATTGGAAGTCATAGTCAGTCGCCAGTCATAGTCAGTCGCCAGCTTCTCAAGAAGGGCAAGATGTTTGCCTTTCAAACCCAGGGAGCAGCCAGCATCCATGTTGGAGAATATTTGGTTGTTTTCGTCGGACAGTAAGTCTGCTAGGCATCGCCACTTCCTGATCGTCTCCAGCCGCAACTTCATTGTTTCCAGTGGTGATCTGTTGAGGGTCCTGTATATGCCAAAAACCCGTATGACGAAGTGAGTGTCATCTCCAGCATTCCCCCTTTTCGCTTTAGCAAATCTGAGAAGCTTGCTGCCGGCTGGCACGCCCGCAAATGCTTCAAGTAAAATCCGCTTATCTGAAAGAAGAGGTTCGTCATGAACAGGTATTCGGACTGTCTGCACTTGTGCATACTCAGGCACAAGAGTGGCAATTTTTCTGTCTCGTGGTTGTTTGTGTGTAGTCACTCTTGCATCCATCAAAGCAGTCTTGTCATACAAACCGTCCGTGGTCTGAGAGTCAGCGACACCAGCCATGTCTGCCAACACATTTGCAAACCGCTCACTGAAGAGTTTAGGATACGCAGCTTCTTTGTTAGTGTCAAATATAATATGTCCATTTTCGTTCGTATGTGACCACGGCAGATATTCGTGGTCTCCCTGACTGTATCCAGCAAGCACTTGAATTACACTCGATTGGTGAGCAATGTAGTGAGCTTTTTTTTTTGTCGCTTCCATGGATGCATGAGTGAAAAGTATGAAGACAGCTACAGACACTAAAATCTTGTAATCCTCGATGTTCCAAAGGTAGCTGCGCCCAGGATTCTCAATGCTCCATCCAACCTGAAGAAGGTTCAACCAAGCTAAATGGATATATATCGAATCTGCAGATTCGACTTTGTCTTTCCAAAAACCAGTGAGCCATGGAAAACCGATGGGATGTTCTTCTGAACGCAATGGTGGGGGCCCATGTTGATCTTCTGTAAGAGCGACATCTCTCGCTCTTGAAGCTGTGCCGCATGGTGGAGCGGCGTGAAAGTGGAAAGGTCGCCTAGACCGTGCCAGGTGTTCCAAGAAACTCCGTGTAGATCGCTTTCGCAGATCTAATTCTACAACATGCACAAATGGTCGGTGCTTGTTGCCATGAAATTCAATTGCTAACACATCAAAGCCAGCTTTAGAAACACACGAACTGAGAAGTGCGCTGCCACAACAAGCTTCAATGAAAGAAAGGATTCTTTGAAGCACCTTTCAGGCTTTCCTCCAATTGCCACTTCGGGAATTGAAGCTGAATTGTCACCTTCGTGACTCAAACTCACAGGTGATTCTGCTCGTTGCAGCTCACCGTCTTGACCCTCTTTGGACTCTTGGGCTTCTAGTCAAGAGCCCCATGACTTCGTGGGACAGTTGACATAGGCATGGTGTTTGCCACACTTCGGCAATGCACAAACATGATAACCTCTCTCACAACGTCCAGCATTGACCTTGTTTGTACATGTCCCCAAGTTGAACCCGTAACAAATTGCATCTCCTGCATTTGTCGTGGCCCTACAACCTCCATTAAGAAGCACCAAAGGCATCTTAGGAGATCCTTTGCTCTTTCCTTGTGTCTTGCCTTTGCCTTTGCTCTTTCCAGGGTTTTGTGACCTACTATATGGACTGGGCCTGTTCGGAGCAGGCTTCTCCTCGCTCTTGTAATCCATGCTCTTACCCATCAAAGGCTGAAGCAAATGAACAACTTCAGGTTTGTTCATGCAATCTTCAAAAACACGGTCAAGAGGCCTACCATTGACTGTGGCCTGCACCCCGTGCCTCGTGGCATTGGCAAGCTCCTCAAAGAGCTTTTTGTCAGCTTCAAAAACCTGACGGAAGGAAGTCCTTGCATAACCTGCAGGAGGCACTTCCAGTCTCACTTTGAGCACGCGGTCGACCCATAATTGGTGGGTCCTGAACTCCAACAAATTGGCCTGATCCATGCTCAAGCCCCTACGCTGGAGTGCGTACTGAAGCAAAATCTCGGTTGAGGTGTCTGCTACAGGGTCAGGCTTTTTCCCTTCAACCTTAAGCTTGCCATTTGAGTCCACAGCAAACAAATGCTCTGTGCGAACTTCCTTGTCGATCTCTGCTTCTTTTGCTGTATATTTTTCCCAAGGTACAAATCGAAGCCTGTTTGCTTCGTACATCGCACAAAACAAATCAACAAGGCCATCACTTGGTTCCAAAGGCCCACGCAATGTGAGACCTGTGATGCGCTTGACCTGTCTTTCGTAAAGGTCCGCGCGCTCTGGCTGTGTCAACTTACGTGTCTGGACATCCTCACTCCTTTCCAATTGCTGTTTCATTTCTTGTGTCACAAGTGAATAGGACTCATGCAAAAGCTTTCGAAAGGATGCCAATTCTCCCAATGTAGGGTCCCTGCCAAGTACCGTTTTTACGGTCTTCACAAACTCTGCATCATCGCCAGCACCAGGCACATATGAACTTGCAAATGCAAACTTTGAAAGTGTATTGAGCCCAGCGCCATCCAAACTGGTGCGAATCTCCTCGCTCAATCCTGCTGATGCAGCCCTGTCTCTGAAAACTGGCACGCTGTCAGCAAATGACATGGATACGGACCGCAGGGAGTTCTTTTCAGACTTGATGCAATGCACATGGAAGGAAAGACATGACAAAACCTGAATCTCTCTAAATATTTGAAATTCGAAACTCGGAAAACATGCTCATGAAAAACTTGGCAAACTGCTTGGGTTTTTCTGAGAGTGACGCTTGGAGCCGACACTGTCCAAAGGAGCATTTCCCTTCAAGCCGCTCATTGGTCAGATTTCCCAATCTGACATATGATGTTTGATATGAACATGTATGGCGTGGCAAAATTCCAAGAAACGTGCCGACATCACAAACATGGGAATGTTGCATCAATCACACCAGTGAAAGAAATGTTAAAACTCAGGTCGCTACATTCGACGAACGTTCCCTGCTTCGATATTCATTCAAAAAGGCTGCAGATCTTTTTCAACTTCACGCGACAACATGTCAGTCATCATACATGTGCCTTTCTGAATCTGGCAATGCATTGTTTGCAATTGGTAGAAGCGACTGAGGTCCAGACTCAAGTGGAATGTAGCTCTTTGAGATGTCCCTACCACAAGTGAACCCGATACCCGATTCGTCCTCTTGGACGCGAATTGTCCTCGCCAAAGGGTGCCTGAAGTAAACTTCTTGGTTGGGCAGCTTGTCGATGTCCACACCTGCATCCCACTTGCCAAGGACCACATTCTCAGCTGTTTCATGAGCCAGGTGGTCAGGTTGGTCCTCATCTGCAGAGTCCTCTGAGGAGCTTCCAGAACAGTAACCATCAAAACCGCTTTGGTCTTGGTCCTCCAAACGCTTTGCAGCATTATCAGCATAAGGAAACATCTCAGCTCGCTTTGCGTCGGGCAAAAATTCACCCTGCCTGATTGCATCAAGAATCACATCGATTTCACGAAGTCCTGCACTGGTGTTGTCCTTGCCATAAATGAGCATCGTCGACATCTTATCAGCAACATGGTACCCCATAAGTCTCCTGTCTGGAAGACCACGAGCTTGGTGGCCAAGAACAGTTTCTTCCGGAGTTGTCAGCTCTTGCACAGTCTGTGGCAACCTGGATGTCGTCTTCTTCTTCTGCAGGAAACACTTGTCGGCCAAGTATCTGAAGCACCGTGAGTGCAAACCTCGTTTGGCACCTACGAAACCGACCACGTGCAACGCAAACCCCAAGGAGCTAAGATAACTCCTCAACAAGGTCGGCCCTGCAGACCGTTCCACATGTTGCATGAAGGCATACACGACCTCTTCTGTGATAAGAAAAACTCTCGGTTGCTTACCTGCACAAAGACGCAAAAATCGCATCATAGGTCCAGTCTTGCCATGAAGTGTTGAAGTGCTCTTGCATGAGAACACATTTCTGAGGTCATCCTGAAGCTTGCCTCGTTGAAGCACCGTTTTTAACGATTGAAAATGCATACCACAAACATGAAACGAAATCGGATCAGCCAACACAATTTTATGCCACTCGACCATGGGAACACCGTATTGCGAGTCAGGATGGACATCCCATTCCACTTCAGGCAACTTGCAGTAGAAACTCCTGCAATGGTCGCCAAATCCACTCGCCAGCTCTTCATGAGCTGCTTCTGCAACGTCTGAACAGAGAACAGCAGCAGGCAAAGTTGGAGCCATACCCAGTAGTCCTTTCGGATGTGTTGACTGGTCCCGATCTGCCATGAAGCCAAGCTGCCAAGAATATTTCAATGCAGACCTCTTCATAGATCGTTCACAAAATCGGATGTGCTCAAAAAGAGCTGAATAGCTACCTTTCTCCCCTTTTTCCACTGTGTGCTCACTCGGAGTCGCTGTCGAAACTGTTGGAATGCCCCAGCACCAGTCCAGCACAAAAACCGCATAGTCCAAAAAGAGATGGATATGAGTAGCAGTCTGAAGTGCTGCCCAATCTTTCTCAGTGATCGGGGCCAATGTTGGATTAGTACCAGCTGTGATATGAGCATACATGCTGCTGGTGAGGTGAGGTTTTGCAGCACAGATTGTTGCAACCACGCACAGGACATAGAAAACAGCACCCTTGTCGAGGACCTGTTGGTGTAGTTGGCGCTGGGATGGTTGGTGCTGGGGTCGACGCTGAAGCTTCGTGTGAGGATGTTGCCGATGCAACCGTTGGGTCACCTGGGGATCTTCCACTGTCATCAGCTGCTTCAGGGTCCCCGATGTCTGCTGACACCGTGAGGGGAATGCCCGCACGTTTGGCCAGCTCGCACAAAATTGCGAGGGCGAAAGCCACTAGCTGCTGCGTTGACAATGAAGGCACTTGTCGAAGATCCATGGGATGTTGTACAAAAGGTGTGGCCACTCGAACCTGGTACACGGATTATACCAGAGCCCAGTGACCAAACCAAGAGCACAACAAAAATTGGAAAAAGGTTTTGAAACCCTCCACACCCGCCCTTGACTTGTAAAATACCGGACATACATTGAATCAAATTCACAGATTGATTTTAAACTCTTAGTGTCATAAAAGGGGGTTAAATTTAACCCCTCTTTCGTCGCAGAAACGGTTGTGACAACAAAACAACGTCTGGAGAAACGACCTTGAGACCTTGCATAGAAAAAGGTGTTTCTGTTTTGAACCTGAAACATCACGTGTGTAAAAACGTCGTGAAAAAGAGCAAGCACTTTGCTTGCAACGCACAGTTGGTCTTACCAACATAAAACTTGTTTCTTCAGTTTTTTTTTTGACGTGAGAAAAGGTGTTTTTGGTTTGCAAGAAAGTTGTTTCACAACTTCCAAACGAATTCAACTTTGTTGCCATAATTCATCATGAGTTTTCAACTCAAGTATTGCGTGTGTGCCAGGGCACTGAACACAGAGGTCATCCAGCGCCTGGGTGGAACACAAAAAGCGAGTAGGCTTCTTCCAAGGAGTGCCGAACGCGCACTGATCACAGTCGAGGGCGAATGCTCTGGTCGCTCGGATCAGGTCACCAATTTGAGGGGTGAGCCAGAGCAAGCTAAGCAGGGGGTTTTCAATTAAGAAATCCCCACCAACATTAAAAACCAAAACACACGCCTCAACCGTACGTTCAAGAAAAAGATTACCAAGAAAAACCAGTAACTGATCAGCCCAGCTGAGCCCGTCCAGACCCAATGGAGCCGCTGCCGATCGAAGTGGCGGTGGCCCGCCATCGAGCTTGCGAGCTGCCGTGAACGTGTTGCACGGTGTGCCACAGTGCAGGAAGAGCACGATGCCCATGGCCAGGATGTCCAACACCAACTTCCAGAACTGCAGATCCAGGATATCCTTGGGTTGCTGAACAAGCTTGCCAGGAGTGATGTCTACTGGCGGCAGCACACAGAGATCCCTTGCAAATGAACGGCCTCCGTGATGCCTGCTTCCCCGGCAAAGAGCTCCAAGAAATAGGGGGCTTGGGCCTTCAAGGCCTGAAGGTCAGCCTCAACCTCATCCCACTGTGGGATAGCCATTTGCTTCAGTGGAGGCACTGTCTGCCCAGCCTCCTGGGACGCATGAGCATCATTCGTGCCACTGGCCTCGCCGATCCAATCCCCAGGTGGTGGCGAGGGAGCCACCTGGGTATGCCCATGAGCGCATCAGTGGTTGCCGTGCCAAGGATGATCCTTGCCACATTCCACGCAAGCGTGCTTGAGCTTGCATTGATCACCGAATCGGCAGCCCAGTAAGCAATTGAAGAAAGGACAGCGGCGAGCGCCTGAGTACTTGAAGGCGGTGATTGACGCCCACTCCTTCGAGGGTACCCGCTCATCTTTGGTGGTGCGAGCGGCACCTGGCTTGCTCCCTTTGACGGGAGAATTGTTGAGCACCTCCTTTGCCTTCTTGAGCTGGGCCTTCTGGCGCTCCCGCCGAGCTTTGTTCTTCTTGGACTTCGGGGTGGAGCATCTGCTGAGCTTGACCGTGAGCGCTTCTTGGGCGTGATTGGCTCAGCTGTGTGGGCAGCCTGCTTGAACTTGTCGAGCTCAGCACTTGAACGAGCATCGTTCCATAACTGCTTATGGTTGGTGAGCACTTCGAGCAACGCCTTGGAGAAAGTGCTGAACTGCTTGCGCTGATCTGAACTGACACGGTGCACCTTCTTGCGGATCAGAGTATCCACGGTGAGCAGGAGCGCCAGGCCCCGGTTCTCTTGGCGCCATTCTTCGAGCTCAGACAGGTACTTCAAGGGGCCTGCCTTGACCGAGAACTCACAAATGTTGAGGTACTCGAGCGTGATGAAGAATGCGTGCAACTTGTCCATGACCTGAGACTCTGAGCTTGCAGCAGAGGGTTGATCGACCATGATGACACGGAGCAGATCTTCTGCGTTCTTCGTCAGCCCTGTCTTCTGTGCGATCTGCTCATTCCGCGTCCTGATCTCTCCGACTTCGTAGAAGTGGACGAAGCCGTGCACAAGGAAGTCGCGCTGAACTCTCTCAACAAACTTGCGATGTGGCTCCCGATGCATAGGGAGGAGCACGTCAGGGTGTCGAGAGACAAAAACTTCACGAAATTCTGCATGATCTTCTCCGGGAATCTCTGGAACCTTTGATGGATCTTCTTCCATCTTGGCTCGCCGAGTAGCGAAATGATCTTGCATAGTGCTGCATGTCTTCCAGACCGCCGCCAGAGAGGTCAGCGCGAGCTCTTGTTCTGGAACGTCAGTGCCGAGCGAGGCTGCGTCTGGGATCATAGCCTTCAAAGTAGCCTTGACGGCTGCGATGTCATCGCCGAGCATGGCGAAGGTCTCGACTGTGAGCAACCCCGCATCGGCGGCCAATTTGCACAGCTCTGATTTGACTCGCTGGCGCCCGAACACTTGGCGAACTGCCAGGTCTGGCACATGCGTATCGTTGTATTCAGTGCGATCGACCATTGCGATGGCAGCGGAGAGCTTCACTTTGAAAAGCTGTGAGCAAAACTTCTTTGGTGTCAAAATAAAAATCAAATGAGCGGATGAGGTGACAAATATGAGGCGATGACAGAACTCACATGTATGACCACATTCAGCCAAGGATCACTGCCCACGCTCGTAGGCCTCCAACACTTCCGGCCTTGCCCGAGCGCAATGCTTGCAGAGCACCGAACGGTCCGGGAGGTAAGAGCCCACATTGGTGCACGCCTCCAGGTCGATGCGGCCGCATGCAATGACCGTGCTATCTTCACGAGCAGTGCAATGGAACCGATAGTCATAGGAGGACGATGGCCCATCGGACTTTGTGAAGAACTGGATCTGGTCCAAAGCTGCGGGATCATACGAATCCAACTCCACCTCCTCTGAGCTAACTTGGGGGTGCTGGTGCACTAGCATGTCCTGTACGAGCTGTTGGACCATCTTGGCCGGAATGGCCGACCTGTTGCGGGTGTACTTCAGAACAAGCGGCCCCGGGTTCTTCCAATTCGCCTGAAGACCAATCTCTTCAGAACTCCGGCCTGCATGAACAGCTGCATCCAACATGGTGACCCTGGCTGAGTGAGCTGTCAGTTTGTTGACCACTGCACCAAGCTCTTTGAACTCCTCATGGGCCCCTTCGTGGTAGTGCTCGACCGCATAGCGCCCAAGGAACTTGAGCCACTGAACCGAGCGCTGGTAGTTGGCTGGGGCTGCCTGGAACTGTTCCCTCGTGTTCAGGTTCCTGATCCAGAAGTCCCGCTCAAGGTCCTCCTGCATGAGCAACTGCCAGCCTGCCCGAAGCCAATCAACACCTGAAAAGCTCACATGCGGCACAACGAACTTGGTGCCTCTACGTTTGCGTTCGACCTTAGTTTGCCATGCCACGCCAAACATCCCCTCTTCATTCAAGACGAGCTCGTTGGGCTTGACATGGATCGCGTCGTCAAAACGCAAGGAAGCGAACACCATACAGAGCCACCACCACACAAACAATCTAGTGGGATCTGGCTCATTGGTGTCCACAACCAGGAGCTCAAAACATCTGACCACTTGTGTAGGGATTGGAACTGCTTCCTTCAGAGTGCGAGCGCGCTTGTTGATGATATCGGCTTGGATTGCTAGCAAGCCAGGATGATCCACGTCTGGACAATCGATCGCCAGCTTGGCCGTGATCCACTTAACCGACGTTCTAAAGGTCGGAACAACTGACGGCCCACACTCTAAATTGTCCAAATGAAGGGCATACCGAACTAACTTAGAGCTATCTAAAGGAAAAATAGCAATGTCTTTCGACCTAGCCCATTCAGCAAACCTTTCCCAGTTTGAAATATGCGCAGCCATGGTTCTAGGAGCGCCTGAGGAGAGCACTAGTTGCCGCAGCCGAGCCACTTCAGCAGGGGAAAGGCCACTCTCATTCGCTGTCTCCATGAGCAGCTTAGAGTAGGCCCCAGCCGCTTTGCCGATCTCCTCCAGGCGAGCAGCCCACTTCCATCTTGCTGCATTTTCCTGGTCGAGCAGCGGGGTGTTGGACTGCTCATCAGGGGTAGCTTTCAGGATCTTTCTGGGGGGCCTAGATCTGTCTGTCAGTGCCTTAATGGCACCCACCCTTCGAGCCCTAGCTGTCTCAGAGCTAATAGGGGGAGCAGACATCTCACAGAGCCCAAACCCCAGTTGCAGTGCAGTTGATTCAAAGAAAGCTTTCTCCACAGAACCAGCCAACAACCAAAACTGTTCGAGCATGAAGGATGAGCGCAGCAGGTCATCACGAACTGACTCATCGAGCTGTGGTGCCCACTCACTGACCTTCATTGCAAACTCCTGTGCCGTGTGCACTTCCATGGCAGACACAAACGCTAAGTTGCCGAACGGTGAAGCTTGCACCGCCTGGGCAAAAGCATCTGTGAACACAGGCAGTGCTAAAATTTTTGATGACCATCTTTCGGCACTCTGAGCCATTGTAGTTGTCGCTACAGAAACCGAGCAAGGGATCAGCAAAAATGCTCACAGGAAATGAGCGCCAGTATGACGGTCACACAAAAAAACTAAAATTCAGACCTTCAAACCTACGCACTCACCCAACACATTCTGAACAGGCAGAAGCAAATGACTGACCCGCAAAATAGGTCTGTCGCTCTGCTTCACTCCCGATCTAGGGACCCACAACCCACTGGGTGCCCAACCTGAGCACGGTTGGCCGGTTGGGTGAAAGCATGAACATGTGGCAGTGGCAGATGAATACGTGCACAGCATGAACATGCAAAAGGTAAACAAAACAATGAAATAAAAAGCATTGGCCGAGCGGATTCAGCAACTTGACAAAAGTTGAAATCACAGAGAAATATTGCCGACCTATTGAAAACCCCTTCAATGAGAGACCTATTGGCCTGATCAGGCCGAAGCAAATGACTGACTCAGTGTTAAGAGTCTGTCGCTCTGCCTCACCCCCGATCTGAGAATCCGTAACACCGACTGAGGTACATACCTGAGCAGGGCGGTCATCCCAGAACAAGGGGGCAATCAGGGTGATCAAATAAAATAAAATAAACTGGGGTCAGCTGTGCGGGTTCAATGAACAAGCCAAGCACAAGACAAACTTCCCGCTTGCCAGGCTCGACCCTGAACCCTTCTTTTTGTCACGCTGAGCACTGTGCAGCCTGTCGGCCAAAAGTTTGGCTCGAAGAGCTATTCCGCCATTTTATGGCACGATCGGATCTGCTTCAAAAGCGATCAAATTTCACAAAAGGGATTCCTCCGCTTCTTCAATCACTGGAGGAGGGCCAAACGAACGAGGCACTGAAGTGGTAGATCCTTGAGCTCCCAACCCTTGCAGCACTTGATCAACTTGGGCGACAAATGCCTGGGGTGGCAGAGCTGCCACTGCCACATTCTCTCTCTGCCTCGCCTCCAATGACCGGCGCTGCACCTGCAAGGTTCGAGCACCCGTAGCTGGAGCTGATGGCGTCAGACCACTCTCACTGGCTGAGCTCTCTGCCGCCACAATCGCATCACCCTGGGCTGGGGCCCCAGCCGAACCCGTCAATGCCTTCAGAGAGCCCAAAGCATTTTCCACAGGAATAGCTGCAGGACCACCTGCGACTGGCGGCACCACGATCATCGCTTGCTCATCGCCACGGTCGTGGTACTGGAGCGCCAAGGCTTCCTTGGGGACGATCACCATCTCAGACTTGAACAATGGCGATTCACAAGTCAAATGAAAATTGTCGACATGGGTGTCGACAGCCACTGCTCCGACCCTGGGGCCCGTCTCCTCGAGCGTGAACGCCTCTGTGGCTGCCGTCCAGTGAGCATGGATGCCAGCCAGCTGGCTCATCTGCATCGTCTGGTCAGGACCCTCCACTCGTGCCTGTCGATCGCGGCACCAGCGCGCATTCTGGATGAGCGTTGGCCCCGAAACTCGTGACAGAACAAGCCACGTTGAGGGCACCATCACCTGCGAGCAAGCCACATCAATCTTGTCCCCTGAGGTGCGAAAGCGGAACTCCAAGCGATCAGCATCCATGCCGATCGAGTCAGCTGAGGACAGGGCTGTCATCCTGACCTCAAAGTGGCACAAGGGATGATCCAGCGCCACCACAACTCCGCCTTCGCTGCACACGTAGAGCCGCCCACCTACCTCGAACGAGGTTGCCACAACCCTCCACCCTTGGAAGATCGTCACAGCGACTGACGGCACAAAGAGCACCTCCTTGATCGTCATCACCAGACCCTCGTTGATGTAGTTGAGCTGCACGGACATGTCCTGATCTGAACGATATCCACGGAGCTCCAAGTGCAAGAGCAGGTAGCCCTCGATCTTCACCTTGACGTCCACCCAAGTTGATGAATCATCACGCATGATGGGCCACCGAAATGGCTGGAACGCCGGGTGCGAGAGCACTGACCCTGTCAAAGAGTCCCACCGGGCGCATGGCACTGATCCATAAGATGTCATAGACCCGACCACAATCAGCTTGTACCCATTGATCGCCCTGACGTAAAAGAGGTTCATGTGGTATCCTGTGGCAGGAGAACGAACCAATTGACGATCTGACAGGATGTTGATGCCCGACTGTGCGTTGAGCAGGATCTCGTCCAAGAGCCACCCTTGATAGGGACTCTGGATGCGTTGATCTCTTGCATCCAAAATCAACACCGACCGTTCTTCATTCCCAGAGCCCAGCTGCTTGATGAAAGGTGGGAGCTGGTAGTTCTGCGGGTTGAACGCTCCCGCCACTGGCATCTGGCCCCAACGAACGGCCTTGTGGCCTCGAGCCTTTGCCCTCGCTTTTTGCTGAGCAAGCTTGGCCGTCTGCTTCTCCTTGTTGCCGAGCAAGTGCTTTGCAGCCTCCGTGGCTGGAGCCCAGCCTGCATTAGAGCCTTCTGCTGCTGCATACGCCGACCAGTTGGCTGGGGGAACGTCATCGTCGGAGTCCTCGTCCCAAACCGTCTTGTCGATCCCAGGGGGTGCTTCAGGTGCCTGAGCAAGCTGGACAGGAGTCTCTGGAGCATCAGGTGGAACCACACTCCATGAGGCCTGTGAGCCCACACCACTGGCACTGTCATCAGGGCGCACCTGATCAACCCCCTGGTCACTGGAACGAGCAGCAGCCATTGCAAATTGACGGCTCAGAGCAGGTGGAAAAACAGAAGCTTTGGAATTAGACATCCTAGGAGTGATCAAAATCCCAGGCCCAATCACACGATCTAAGGGGCACAAAAATCAAGCCTGGTGATCACTCCTTCTTGGAGCCAAAATGGCCCGGTCATCGGCCAGCCGTCCTTAGTTGAACAATATGCGGAGCAGCTAGCCAAAGAGGTGATCACCCAGTTATATAAATAAAAGATGGAGCATAAATATATATCCAGATCAAATATAAATGATGATCAAGGATATATAAAGGAGATCAAAGATTTATGGAGAGAGCAGCCTCTGAGAGTCCTCTACTTGTCCCAAGCCCACCTAGCCGTTGACATGTAAACAACTTATATATATATATATATATTATATACCTTGTATATATATTATATATATAACTTATATAATATATATATAATATAATATATATATATTATATTACATAACTTATATAATTTTTATATGAAAAACATGTGCTTAATAAACCTCTTTAACATTGTCAATCTATATGGTCATTTCATGCTCAAACCCCTGGCCTCTGGCGCTGTCCGTGGCCAGCCGCTGATCACCGAGGCGGTCACATCAAAGGAGGCCTCGTGACTCGTGGCGGAACAGCACGGCTGATGTTTGAGGAACTCCCAGAAAAAATTGGTTGATTGATGATTGATAATAGTTGATTATTGGTGATTGGTGAGTGATGTTGATGATGTTGATGTTGATGTTGATGTTGTTGATGATGATGATGATGATGATGATGGTGATGGTGATGGTGATGATGATGATGATGATGATAAGATCTCAAAGCAAAACCAAAATGGAAAAGATTGAACAAAAATGAAATGATTCCCAAATACAAAGCTTACAAGTTGAGAGAGAATGGAGAGAAACCTCTTGCCATGCTGCGGGGTCCCAACCGATAGGCTACCAATCGTCCATGAGCCCATGCCCGCCATGCCCGCCATGCCCCTGCCTGTTTCTCAGCACCCACTGGGTACAACACTGCCAGGAAGGGCAGTAGAAACATGGCATCAAAAATGTATCAACTAAGCATGGACACTTCAACTATGCTTGAGCTGCTTGCTTGCACCTGGAGCACAAATGCTTATCTGAAGGTTGATATCGGTTGATATCATGGACTACTCTCCTCATTACTTGACATACTCCAAAAGGCTACATGAATCCGCGAGATCATGGCTGAATCTAGTGAAAAGTGCATGGCTGTTGTCTGCTGAGTTGCACATGAAAAAATCTGAAGTGACCCCAGTGATATCTGAACACCGTAAAGAGGACTACAGTATCTTGTTTGGCTTTCTACATTTCTTCTCAGCAGCTGCAGCCGGGTTTGGATGCAGGAGAGAGACCATCTGACACTGGCACTTCTCTGTCGCTGAAACAAATGAAAGCACTGGTTCTGAACTTTAATGGCAATCCCAATCAAATCCGATGCGAGAAAATAGTTCGTTTGCAAAAATGTCTCGTTGAATTCACTTCAAAATGCTTTTGCATAGGTGCCTGCCTCGGGGGAGAAAACAGTTTAAGTATGTTTGAGTAACATGCACTGAGCTGGTTCAAGATGACTATGTCCCGGCAAGTTTTTGGATCCCAAAGCGGACTGAGTAGAGTTTGGCCGTCTCGAGTACTAGCCTCCGCCTAGGGGCGTGAGCTGCCACACGTACTCCATGCCGGACACTTGTGCCACAACGGTCACCAGTGGCGTGCCCAAAAATCAGCTATACAGGAGATTCTGAAGCGAATCAATGGAAAAAGCACAGGCTCAACCTCGGAGAGGTCATGAGAAGTCTCACAAGTTGCTGATTCTATGCGAGTTGTAGTGAGAGGCAATCATGGGATAGATGGGATCGATGGGATAGATGCACAGTGGGATAGATGAATAGATGGATGAATGAATAGATGGATAGATGGTGGATAGATGGTGAATAGATGGCTAGATGGATGGGTGGGGGATAGATGGATAGATGGATAGATGGATGGATAGATAGATAGGTAGATAGATAGATACGTAGGTAGATCGGTAGATCGATACGTAGGATTACGTAGGTAGATAGGTAGGTAGGAAGATAGATAGTGTTGATGCAAGACCAGATCTTCCACTTGAAAACATCAATTCACTTGTGCAATACAAAACCACTTGGAGGAGGCCTATCTTGGCATCCGACAATTGAGCGAATAATGGTACAAAAATCTCACCTGGCAGGGACGCAGATCGCCACACAGCATCTGGTTCCAAGGAGTTTGGGAACTGTTTCGAGTCAGGGCTGCTTCAAGTCATGGGCAGAACATACAGCAGTAGCATCTCTCCATTACCCTCTGGTAATTTAACATAGCTATTGAAAATGGTGATTGATAGTGGATTTTCCCATTGAAAATGATGCATATTTTACATATTCATATTTATATTTTGAATATCATATTGACAAATGACAAGATATCATAAATGATAAGATGTGATGATAAGATGTGACAAGATATGATAAGATATGATAATATATGATAAGATGATAAAATACGATATGCTATGATAAATGACATTGCTGTTTACCAGAGGGTAACCTCTGCATTTCTCACCCAACAAACATCCCGACATCCCGGTCCCGGTCCACAGATTTCCTGCGGATGTGATGCCTTAAAAGTCGCACAATGGCGATCAGAAGGACATCGTGCGCCACAATGCTCGAGGCAAGGGGATGATTCTCCTTCAGATACCTCAGTCACCGTCACAGCAAGGGTGAAATCATTGGTTAAATCCTTCGCGAACGACTGGGTTGTGGTTATCAAACAGTATGGTTAACAGTAGTATAAATATGTATAAATCACATCAGATGGTTTGCAATCAGATGGTGGTTATCAAACAAGACCTCCCATCTGATCCCCCACCAGCCCTTGATAGTGTGTGAAACTCTGGAGCTGCGCCGGAATCTTTGAGCAAGCTGCCCAAATGCTGCTTCGGCATAAGGTGTCACAAGCATACCAATCATGAGGGCAACTCCCATGATCGTAGATCCAATGCCTGCCAGCACCGCAACACGCCGCAACTAATTATTACCATTGAAGCTGATGAAAATACGGAGTCAAGTGGATGAACATGTCATTGGACATCCATTGACCAATCTGATGAATTGAAGGATATTAAAAATTATGCCATAACGGACTGACCCAAAAATCCAACTCTGGAAGCTTGGACTATGTTCGTCACCTGCACCACATCTCGCCTGTAGAGCGTGCGTAGTTAATTGGCTTGAAGTACTTTTGGAAGTCCAGCCTCGCTTCCGTGTTTGGCAGATATGCAAGTAAAACGGATAGGCTGACAAATAGATAGATAAGTCAATGGGTAAAATTTGGCTCAAATAATAATAGTAATAATAATAATAATTCATGTTTGATGAACGGTCATGGGTCATGGGTCAGCCCAAGCCCTGGTTTCGATTGCACCGTTGAACTTGTCCGTCGGCCGCTATCGTCTGGGATGGCTTCCAAATGTGGACAATACTCTCCAGACTGTTCACTTCAAAAAACCAAGGCATTTGGGTAGAAGTTATTATATAGTTATGAGTCGAAATTAGTCAAAATTATTCAAAATTACTACATGACCCCAGAAATGGACGGATTAAGACGAAAAATTGCCAACAAATTGTGCCCACCCCCATTTCCCTCCAGCACTCACTGTCGGGTGGCTTCTTGTCTGGAGGCTGCAGGGTATAGCCACGCCACTCGTTGCATGGGGAAGAGATGATGCCTCGGGGCTCGTGCGGAGCGGGTCAGGGATCAAGAAGCGCCCTATTTGCACTGTCAATCAAGCATGTCAAACCCACAGGGTGTTCAAAGGTGAAGAAAGATCTTGGGTTCGGACTGAAAGTGCAAAACTGTCCCATTCCGACAAATGCCATACAAATGCCATCAACGATCAAAACCCATAAATCACGGTGTGCAACTGCTCCCCTCCGCAGCATCAGCCAAGCTGCAAGAAGCCCAAATGGTCAGACCAAACACCAGGGCCTGATCGCGGTGTGGACCCTGGGGGAGCCTGTTGCGGCGAAGATTTGATGAAAACTTGGATTCCATGGAATTATTCAGAAGTGGTACTGTCAGGAAACCCTATCCTGTCAGGACATATTGTCCCACAGCGCTGGTGAAAGTTGTCGGTGTACTATGGATATGGGTTGAAGACAAGGCAAAGATATCTGTCCTGCAACTTGGGCTCAGGTCATGGCTGTATGAAACTTTGGCCCAATCCAACCATCAAACCAGCAATCTTTTAGGGACATCAACTGGTTCAAAGCTCCATATTATCTCCATATTATCTCCATATTATCTCCATATTATCTCCATATGCTCCTTGAAACCTTGGATGATAAGACAGTAGATGCTCTGACGGCACCATCTCGGGCACCTTGTGAGTGAACTCTTCTGGTGCGAAGAGGTCTTGGAAGAAGGTACCCACCAACCCTCGTGCCCAGCCGTAGATGATGTCACGTGCCACAGTGGGAACCTCAGGCCATGACCATCAACGGATGAGGCCAGCGCCGCGCCGGCAACGCTGGCAATGCTGGTCCCTGAGGCTGGAGCATACGCCTGGTACAGCAGGGATGGCTGGATCTCCCAGTCGGGGTTCATGCTCTTCTGGAAGCGGTAGTTGGTCACCTGGACGGTCTCATGCGAAGATTTTCTTGACTTCTTGTGGACTTCGTACATTCGAAATCCTGGTTGCACTGACTCTTTGACTCTTTGTTTTCCAAAGCTAGCTAGAAACATCACAATTAGAACATAGGACTAGAAAACCTCTATTGCCTTAAATCCCCCTGGAATTGTGTGGGATTTATACTTCTGATGCCTTGCGATCTTCACAAGTGACAACTGTACCTTTTCAGACAGCCAGGGCTGCGGCTGGCAGCATGATCGTGCAGAAAAAGAAACCGCTGATGGTTCCACCTGGCGGAAACACCGGTGGATCAACGGAACCAACGGCACCAACAGAGTCGATGGATCATCGCCAGGTGCCAAGTCATGCCAGGTCACTAATGCTGGGAGAAAGTCCACTGAATGCCATGGCTCGGTTAATGACTTCGAAGACAGGGAATTTCAGCCTTGGTGGCCAACAGATGCTTCATGCCGAATGATTTCTCAGGTGCCTTGGGGGTTCATTTTTTGAGGTCACTAGGGGTAGCAATACACATAAAGATAATCATTATTAGATAATCATATAGATTATACACATAATACACTTAATTTATTTTCTTGGCCGTGCTTCGAATCAGCATATTTCATCACTTGGTGACCGAGAGCATTGAAATTGCCATAGTTAGTGTTGGTATGCCTCTGTTTTTACCCTCTGCAATACAAGCAGCATGTTGGTTGGGAAAGTGGTGAGGAAGAATCTGGCCACCAGTGCCAAGTTCATCTCACTGAATGCCTGTGCGTGGCCCAGCCATTCCTGTCCCAACATGTTTCAGCCATATGCGAGTCTATTGCGATTCGCCCAAATTCATTGAAACATACTGAAACAGTGTATCTTCACAAAGAAAGGAAGATGTCCCCAAAAATAAACCATCGACTCTTGATTTTTGTTGGAGTATGTTCTTTCCGCCCAGTTCTTGACCAACCCAGTTCTTGACCAACCGCCTGGCCCACAGTCATTCGCTTCACCAAAAGTCGGTTGACCTGGGATCAGTTGATCCTGTAATATCCTGCCAGCTACGCTACCTCCATGAATTCCAAACCTGCCACTGGAATAAATGTCATTTCCAATAAATGCAGTGTCAATGCAAAATTATAATATATTAATACATTATATATATATGTATAATATATATATATGTGTATATAATATATATATATGTATATGCAATAATAATATAATCTACTGCCACTTCGCCAAATGCTTGTGAAGGCTTGTCCCATTGAAAGGCCATTGTCCAGCAGGGTTGGATGAAATGAGGATAGTACACGATCGCACTGGCTGGTCCGTCAAAAACTATGGTCCCTCACAAACCCCTGAGGCACAATGAATCATCCCAGAAATCGACATAAATCCCAACTAGCACGTCCTATGTTTCGCCTCCGACTTGTCAACCAGGTGGGTTTGACCACAGCCAAGGATCCAAGGGTTCACACATGGCCGACAAAATTGCTGCCACGAAGGCCGCCTTAGCACCGGATCCAAATGATAGGTGTTTTGTTGCATTTCAATGGAATTTAATGGGGTTTAATGATGATATTACAATGATATTACTAACAAATATCACCATCCATGTTTGGGATGGCAATCATGACACCCAAATGTGTTGCAAAAGTTGTGGAAGCAGAATGCAACCAATTGTCACAGTGGTTATATACCACTGTGAAGTATGTCCCAAGCTGAGCTCACAAGTCAAGCCATGTCAAGCCACTGTGCAACCCTGTGCTGCTGCCGCGAAAACCTGTCAGCATGCGGATACACAAAATGTCAGTTCAGTTTTGTTTACAAGTCCTTACCGCAAACAACAATCTTTCACCCTGACAGACCATCCATCTAGTGATAGGCATCTCAGGATTCCAGATTTGAATCGAGTGCATAATATCCGAAAATTTGCCATATCACAAGCTGCGCAGCTCCAAACCACGCCTTGCTGAAGAAATTGTCGCCCTCCTCTGGGACTGGAGGCGCCAGAGGTGACTGAGCTGTCTCTACTTCTCCTTCTTCCATCACGACAAGCGCTCGTGGGAGTCCACTGGGGCTGGAACAAAGCTCCCTGGTGCGCATGAAACACGGTGAGTTTGCTTGACCAGTGAGCAAAGACATGGCATGGCTTTACAAACGAGCAAAAAAAAGAGTTCCTGCAACTTAAAAAGTTCATTGCGTCATGTGTTCGTACACCCCGGTCAGATCAAGTTTCATGACTTACAATATGATCAACTCTGCAAAGGCCTTGATTGTGATTCATTATCATCCATCACTATAACCAGCCCAGCCAGCAACTGATACCTGGTATCAACTGGGAAACTAGTGATACAAGAAGTGTGCTTTGACTCCGCCATGCTTCAAGTGGCAGCAAGGTGAAGACCACTCCGAGGAGAAGCAAGGCGCCGAGGGTACGAGTGCTTCTGGCCTGGGAAAACACGATGACCGGGCGACGTGGGCCAACCATGTCTGCCAAGGGAAACCAAGGCATAGATAGGTCAAAAAAATGAACGAATTCCAGGGGCAGAGTTAGACACCTTCGCTTTCCAAGCAATGGCAGCAGTAGACTTGTTCTCAGCAATGGTTTTGAGAAATCCTCAGAGCTTTGCACAAAAAAATTCTCTTCAGCTCTACTTCGACCTGTGCACCCCGTCATCTTGACTATCTCAACCAAGACACCATGATTGGAATCGCAAGTGATTGCTGCGATTTGAAGGCAGCCCGTGCAGCAAGCAAGCACTGGAGCAATACTGGAGCCAAAAGCACCAGGATCAGGAAGGCTATTCAAAGGTTGTCACAAGCCGCCCCCCCAATCCATTGCCACAAACAGGCAACCTCTTGACAGTACAGACACGCAGAAGGGCAGGGACAAGGACAGCTTTTCATGCGGCGAGGCAAAGTTCGTGCCGTGCAACAACCGATGAAGCTTGTTATTGGACAATGATGCCAGTGAAAACTTTGAGTGAAACGTTGGGCTTAAATAGCTTTTGCCTATGGTTCTAATAACATCATTGAAACCTGCTGTTTCGAATCCAATGAAACTGTATTTGACACAGCAAATGACACCAGGAATTTTGTTTTATGAATGTTACTGACACTTCATTGAAACCCATGGCCACGCCCTTCACTCAGATCCTGCGGTTCCAAGTCACAATTTGCGTCGCTTTGGCGGAAGCATTGTCGGCGGTGGCATCTGCACCTTGGTTCAGTTGCTCTACTAAGCAAACTAGGTGCAAACTGCTGATGCTATCTGCAAGTTGCAACTGGTTGCATTGGGGTTCTTCGTGAATCAAATTTGAATCCCAAGTTCACAGTGTATTTTGCATCCATCAGCAGTGACTTTTACATGACCAAAACGCGAAGATAGAGTAAAACGCGCAGATGGAGCAATACTTTCTTGAATAATCACAGGCTGGCCTTCCAGGCCCAGTTGGGCAACCAGAACTCCACATTTTGGGGGGAAAAATGATCTTCGGAACTTCGGAAACCTCTTGAAGATCCTGGCGCCAAGAAACTCTGTCCAACTGTTGGTCCAGGGCAGAGCTCAAACCTGAACGGAAATCAGAAAACTGCTTTGATTGTGACCACAGACTTGCCGCCAACAAGTATTTCTGGGAAGTGGTTGCATTCAGCATGCCAGTCCCATGAAGGCATGGGTCAAAATCTAAACCACTGTTTCCACAGGTATTTTAGTCAACGTTGGGTAAAAGAACACTTGTGAGTTTGGTACAATGAAATAATGAAGTCAGATTGACACAATTACAGTATATAATTCTTGGGTACCGACTTTGACCCGGACTCATGTGATATTTCAATATCTTTCCGGCTCGCCTTTGTCGCCTTTGTCCTCCACCTTAGCTGTGTTGGACATGCAATGACCCAAAATGAATTTACGTCGGTGGATTGAATCCAACAAAACGTGTCAATTGGGTAAAGCCTCCAAAGATTGAAAGCCTTTGAAAAATCAAGATGTTCAAAAGCTGGCAGTTCTGCGTCATGAATTATCCAATCTCTAGACTCTGGCGCTTCACTGCGAATCAAGGTTTGGACATCTTTGCACCCGCCTGCCAACAAAGCCTCAAGACAGTGTGTTGAGTCAGCCAAAGAAAATGGCAAGAAAGTTCTTGCAATTCAACATGATAAGAAATGCCTACAATTCAAAAAAAAAATGTGCCGATCCAGAATGACCAGAGTTGGCGGTTCCATAGAAACCTTTAAGGCCATACAATTCTTGCGAACCAGTTTCTTGCAACAACCTTTCATCGGCCGAGAGACTCGAAGCAACTCAAGTTCTTGAAGTTCGTCCTTAGACTGGAACTCATCGCACTATCAGACTCGCTTTCTGGTGCACTGATACAGGTTTTCGTCCAAATTGTTGGTTTCAGGGGGTGCACTATCAGGTGTTTGACCTGTTCAACGATTCGGTATACCTTACCTGACAATGTTTGGAAACCAGCCACGAAACTCCAACTCGTTTCAACAGAAAGCCCGCAAACCAGAGTGGGATTGAATAACAGCTGCATTGGCTTCGAGACCAGAACTGATAATGCGTAGATAAGTACTTTGACTCACTATTGCTGCATGATCAAAAAATTATCATTTTGGGGTATCCCAAGTTTTGTGATTCCAAAGCCAAATGCAAAAATAACGGAATCGAGTTGCAAAAACTTAGGCAAAATCAACAGCTGCACAGTTACTTACAATAGGCCAGGATCCCTGGCTTCTTCTTGCCTCGATCTCTTGACCTTGTAGCATGCATGCCCAGGCGGCATCTGCCAGAAGTTTTTTGCTGTTGCTATGCATTTACCAATCACTTGTTTTGACGCGTTCTTCAAAAATACGGTTCCACCTTACTTTATAACCCTGCCTGTGTCTAACATTTGGATGGGAGTCAGTTACAGGCAGGTCATAGCACACAAGACCTGTGAGACACATCACTGCGCTTCCTGCGCTGCTTCAACGTAGCCACGACTGTCACTAAAATAAAATTAAAGCAAAGAGAAATGGGCAAAATGCGCCAGAAGCAAGAAACGGCAAGCAACTTTTCGACGCATGATTCGCAGAATTGTGTAGAACTCGGGGGCAAAAAGAAAGACCATCAAGAAGCATGGGACAATCGGACCAAACTGTGCGAGATGCAGGACCTGATTGAAACTTGCGAAGTGAAACATGCTCTTCTGCTGTTGCTGATCAATCACATCAGAGCCCCTGTCGCAGCAATCCTGTCACAATGCCCTCAGTTTGCCATCTGTGCAGCCCCCCAAGAATCTGACTGGGGCACTGCCGCCGGCTGCCATCTCCTTCAGTCTCAACCACCAGCGAAGTTGAGCAAAACAAACAGCCAAAAACATTTGGCTAAGAATACTACCTCCAATTAAAAGAAAATCCACCTTCCCACGGGGGTTTTACTGTTCTACCTGGGTTACTGCTACCTTCTGGCATAGCCACCTCATGAAATGCAAAAACACATGTCAACTCAGCATAACTCAGCCGTCCACAAGTTAATGTGGGCACAAGTGGGTCTGGTAGTTTTCTCCAAAATGTCAATTGACACCTCCAAACATATGCCGCCAAAGCTCTGGAAAGCTGTCAGAGATCGTCGAGGAAGATGTCATCAAAGCACTCGATGCACATGGCAATCTATTGGGTGCAAGCGACCGTTCATCGCCTGGGTCCCCACAAGAACTGTTTCCGGCTGCCAAGACCATGACACATCCCTCCTACCCTCCAAACATCTCCAAACTGTCAGATTACCATACAGATACAGATGGTACTGGTGGCTGTGTAGATGCGGTACAACATGGCTGCAAGATCTGCAAGGTGTCACTTCATCCGATTTGTCCAGGCTGCCAGGTTTCGCCACAGTCGACCCTGTCACTGCTTTGGTATCCTGCCATGCAAGGGAAAGGAATTGTGCCAGCACTGTCTATCGAGCACGGGAGGCACCACTCACCCCAACCCATGTCAACAAATTCATGCAAAAAACCGGCCTTCCACTTTGGCAAAATACTTTGCTTGCCATTTAAGCGCCGACGGATTTCAACCTTAGACCCAATGTGATTTGTTGTGGTTTTTCCGTCTGCTCATGTCGGTCAAATTCACACACGTAGGTCCACCTACATCAGTTACACTATAAGGCTAATAAGCCATAGTATGGATACTAGTGTCTTATTATTACAGGTCAGTTTAAAGCGCCGCGCCCCAAGTACCCCTCAACATAAAGTAATACCTTGATCAACACCACCGTCGTGTGGATAAAAAAAGGTATAAACAAAAAATAAAAACAAACGCCTCGTCGCTTCGGATCGCATCGCCAAATGAATCATGTAAAACAACATGTAACCACGCAAACAGTCATGTGTGACAAAAAACGTTTCACTGATGACATGTACACTGGATGAAACGAAGAACCCTCGAATTCACTCGGACAACGCATCCTTTTTTCACCATGCTGTGGGGAACGATCGACCAGGTTGTTTTGGGTTGGAATGGCTTTCCAACTCACCCTGAGCCATCCGTTTTGGGTTGGAATGGCTTTCCAACTCACCCTGAGCCAGGCAAAAAAGTAGTGTGGTCAAACGGACCGAATAAGACAAAGGTCAGACAGACCGGAGGAAACCGGGTGGGAAAACAAGGGTGGGTATTTGGTTTCCTCATAAAAATTTGAGGTCCCACCCACCCACACCTTGAAAGAGTATGTTGCGGACACAACATAAAATGAAGTGGATTCAGTATTATAAAAATTGACAGAGACACAAACCTTGTTCAAAAACATGGAACACAGTTTGGTGTCACAACATGAAACACATCTCAGCACTGAAAGACATTCACTGCCAAAGTGTTTTCATAAAAAGCAGTGTTTGAGGTTTGCAAAAACACAACAAACCGCAGAGCAACACGCTGACGCGTAGAAAAGCGAGGACAGCGAAGTAAAGAGGAGTACCTTTACATTACGGAGACGCGGCGCACACGCAGTGCAGAAAACATCTGCACAGCGAAGACAACAGACCTTGCACAATAAGGCCATCATCTTTTTCAAAGAGTTCAGGCTTATTATTACAGGTCAGTTTAAAGCGCCGCGCCCCAAGTACCCCTCAACATAAAGTAATACCTTGATCAACACCACCGTCGTGTGGATAAAAAAAGGTATAAACAAAAAATAAAAACAAACGCCTCGTCGCTTCGGATCGCATCGCCAAATGAATCATGTAAAACAACATGTAACCACGCAAACAGTCATGTGTGACAAAAAACGTTTCACTGATGACATGTACACTGGATGAAACGAAGAACCCTCGAATTCACTCGGACAACGCATCCTTTTTTCACCATGCTGTGGGGAACGATCGACCAGGTTGTTTTGGGTTGGAATGGCTTTCCAACTCACCCTGAGCCATCCTCAATTTCATGAACGTGAGTTGGAAGCACGATCCGCACTCGAGGACAGCCCGACAGGACTGGGTCATCAAAGACAAGCCGGCTTGGAGAATCCGCTACGTTCGAATGACTCGGCACTCGACCGAACCACGAATAAATCTTCAACCTAGCCTCTAAACGGACAAAGTCTTTGAGCAAAGGAATGGAAGGAGGCGTAGCGCCAACACCTTTGATATACGTTGCTCTGGCTGCAACGTTGTCAAGGAAGTATACTGTGGGGCACCCTGTGAGATACTTCATCCACAGGCGCGTGGCCATGACTACCGGAAGCACTTCCAGCTCGTAGATAGGATGAGAAGAATGCTGTAACAGCTCGTCCACGAAGGTCTTAGGGACGACCTCTCCAAAGCACTGAACTGGAGTACCTGTCGGTGAAATCAAGACTGCACCAATGCTGGCAAGAACATCTGAATCGGGCTCATATGCGCCGTCAGTAAAGACGTACCAAGTGGTACAAAGAGTTTTAGAAATCACCACAGGCTTAGAGGACCCTATCGCATGCTTCAAGTCCATCAAGGTCTGAAGAAAATCTGGGGTGAAGGTGATCACCTTCTTTTTCTGTAAAGACTCAAGCGAGATGGCTTTGACAAGTTGATTCATCGTTCTGCCGAAGACAAACGCACTAAACCAGATCAGCCTTCCATGGAGCCTCTCAAGTTCTTTGGGCGTCGACCTCTGCGCACCTATCAGATTGTCAAGAATCTGCATCAGCTCGGACTTCCTGCTCTCGGTATGCTGTAGTGCGAAGGTGCCGTCATGAATGGCCCCAACATCAAAGATTACTCCAAGTGACTTGAAGGAGGGCCCAAAGGAAGTTGCCTTTGAGCCAGTCTCCGCAAACCACACTCCCAAAAGGCGAAAGAGGGATTCAACATAAAAAGACACGTTCGTCTCTTCACCCTCCACGCAAACACAAGTGTAATCGTCGAAAAAGCTTGTCCGCAAGACTTGGAGAGCAACCACTCCTATGTATGTCAGGCTGGCCGCCACACGCAAGAATGAACTCACTGAGCCGGAGGCACCAAAGGGTAATGCCAGGGCGGCAAAAATGCCAACCCCTCCACCAGGTCGCTTGACCGCAATCTTGAGTCTGTCTGCATGCCACTGGTCCACACCGAACTGCTTGTAGGCCGACTTCAAATCGTAAGTGCGGCCAGTGAGCTTGGGGAGGCATCCACTTGGGGCCTGATCCAACATGAATGCCAAGTGAGCACATAGCTCGTCCACGGCTTGGACACGGAGCTTTTCTCTCAAACCGTAGGCACCATTCACGCCACATATCGTGAAGTCGTCCACAAGTCGCACCTTTTCCTTCTGAGGTACTGGAAAACGCTTGGCCACAAAACACTCTCCTTCCATAGAGCTAGGAGCCAGCCAACCTTTCTCTACTTCCATCATAGTCTCATCCCACACAAGCTGATCGTGCTCGGATTCATCCGCGCCCTGGAGAGAATTGACAACTGAGGCATTCAAGCCTTTTGACATGTTGATCAACTGTTGCGCCCCAAGGGACGGTCTTCTGACGTCCGGCCTGAAAACACCTGTAGACGGGGCCCACCCCGTAAGCTTGAAGCCACTGCAAATGTCATCAATCACTGCCACATCTGGGTAATCCAGATCCACCAAGATTTCACGCCAAAGAAGGAGGCGCTTTCCCTCGAGAATGCGCTGCAAGTGCTGGGGCAGCTTTTGGTGCAAGGCCTGCTCCTCATTCTTTAACTCAAGTGACCGCCTGAGCCATTTCTTCAAAAAGGAGGCCCTCAACTTGAAGCGCCCCAGCATATCACCATTCAGCATGCTATGCACAACAGTCTTAATCTCTTGGGGCACCTGCGCAATGATATCTCTCGGATGACCTTTTCGCACCGCATCACGTATGAAGTCAGCCGGTTCACGAGGGATACCCACCTGCAAGAGTTCACATGGTTCACCGGCTTCCCATGACTCAGTTTGGAAAACCTCCTCATATTTGCGCTCCATGTCATCTCGAGCAACACCCCCAGGAAACAGAATACGATGACAAACTTTGGCTCCTTTGGGCAGCTTATGCAAAAAACTCTGTACCTCTGATTCGTTTGTTGCTGACGCAAGAAGGGCAATGTATTTGCCGTATTCGGATACCAGTGGTCTCAATTTTTGCCCTTTGGGTTGCGTTGTAAAAAGCTGCCTGGTGGCAACATTAGGCACTTCCAGAATTTGTTGGTGCAAGTCATCTGAAAAAACGAAGCCACAACGAAGAGCCTCATCCTTGAGAATGCATGCAACGCGGTCACACAGCAACTGCGGGTATGCAGCTTCTTCACTTGTAGGGAAAACCGTCCGGCCGTGGACATCTTTGTAAGGCCGCCACGGCTCATGTTTGTGTTGTCCATCACATTGCAATGCAAGCGATTGAAACATGTCTTTTTCGGCATCTCGCGGATTCCAACTCCACCACGCGGTCTGCTTGTCACGCTTGCCGCCATGCATGCAATGGTGAAAAACTGAAAAATGTCGAGCACCAAACGTTTCCAAAAGCCTTGCAACGTCTGAAAATTTCCAGAAAAAAGAGTTTTTGGGATTTTCGATGCTGACAGATATGCCATGGGCAATCAGCTTGCTGATTAAGCGCACAGTCGCACTATAGCTGCGGTTGGCCTTGTCTACCCGTGCTTGATCATGACTGCTCAGATCAGGCAAGCCGTCAGGAAAGACTTCGGACCGAAGTGGTTGAGGCCCGGCTTTGGGATGTTCGCCAGGTATTGGCCGTCCCCTGGCTCGAGACGCTGTTCCGCATGATGGCGCAAAATGCGCGTGTAAAATTGCATCTTTCTCTACATCGATGAAACTCTCCAAGTCATGCAAGCTTTGGGAGTCTGTCACATCAATTTGAAAAATAGGAAACTGCTCAGACCGATCCTTCGTTTGGTCTACAGCTACAGCCTCAAATCCAAGTTTCCTACAAGCCTTGGAAAGACGAGCACTGCCGGCAAAAATTTCTAAGATGATGCATCTTGAATTGACACTGCAAGGTTGCAACGTTTCAGCCGCAATTTCATTCACAGAAGTTCCAACGTTCACAACTCGATCCACTGGAGTCACTGAGATCCCCGCGGCCACAGGTGTTCCTGTTTTACTGCCATCAAGCTGTGTTGCTGGTTTTTCTTCCAGTCAACTGCTGTGGCACTTGTGTGCCCCATGTCCACCCTTCAGACATTTCATGCATGAATGAAAACCAAAACGACAGCGTCCTCTCTTGGTCGCATTTGCACATCCCTTGTTCAAATTGAAATTCCAACACAATGGTTTGTTGTCTGATGTCTTTGTGTGGAGGCCTGACAACTCAGTTGGCAACTGGGCAGGCGTCTTGGATCCTTGACGCGGTTTCTTTGCTGGAGGTTGTGGCTGCTTGTCACCACCACTGGCTGCAGGCGCTGGACGCTTCTGACTGAGTGGAGCTGGAACCAGGTACATGTTGACCCTTGGATCTGTCATGTAAACACGAAGCTGTGCATCCAACGGAGGCTCCCCATCTAACGTCGGTGACTTGAGGGGTCCATCATATTCTGAAGCAAGCAAAAGGAACATCTCCTGGTCTGCACGAATGATGTGTTGCAAGCTAAGCGCCTGAAAATGAGCTGGGGTGTCAGCCATGAGTGCCCTGAAGAGTTTGTTCACCCATTCCGAATGCGCATCAAATGACATCAATCCCACAAGATCAAATGCCAATCCACGACGCTGCAGTGCGTACATCAATTTCATTTCAGTGCCAACGTCAACGGTCGGCAAGGACTCAGCCGACACAGCCTTCAATGTCCCTTGTTCAAGAGTCAACAATTGTTTCTGTCTGGTTTTGGCATCGGCTTGGATCTCTGAATCCCTGGAACTGCACTTGGACGGCGCCACATACAAAAGGGCTCCCGACTCAACAATGTGAAAACACAGGTCAATAAGGCCATGCGATGCTCTCTGTTCATGCATGTGTGAAAGGCCAGTGATCCTAGCCTGTTGCGCCTCAAGCCGACGCCTCTTCTCAACGTAAGGCAAGGACTTCGATGGTTCTGAAGTGTCACCAGCCACTGCCTGCTTCCTGATATCTGACATCACCAATGTCTGTGCCTCAAAGTGAATGCGTCTAACAATTGACACCTCGGCAATGGATGCAGGACCCTGAGCAACTCGATCAGCAAATCTTTGCATGTCATGTTCCGAAACTGGTTGTTGCGGAGTTCCAACTGTGAATGCCAAGCTCGAAAACGTTGTGATCTGCAAGTTACTGAACCAGTCATGAAGCCCATCCAACAACTCATCACATCGCTTTTGAAAAGCGGCCTCTGAGTCTATCAGTGACATGGCAGCACGGCAAGTCCCTTAAGGATTCGCACAGTCACTATGGGAAAGCAGTCTTACTTATGACTTGCAACACGTCAACGTGTAAAAAATCTTGTCAAAAGAAATGCATCGGAAATCTTGTAAGTTGGAGAAACATCGACATCTATACATGTGATTGCAAAAACCTTGTTGGGCTCACATAGTACGTGCCTGAAGGTTCAGGGCCCTCACTCAGAAAAGGTTGCATTCGGAAATTTGTCCTGAAAGCGATGTATTTTGCAAAAATTATGTTCTCAACAGTTTCGTTTGAAAATGGACGCCTCTGTATCATGTTTCCCACCATCTGCTTGGTGGATGATTGAGCCCAGGACGCACATGTAGTGACTTGCCATGGATTGGCCGCTGAATCCAAGTGCAGGGTGGTCAAACGAAAATTTGACAGATTACCCTGGATTTCACTGGTGCAGCAAGTAAACAACACAAGTCGCAAATGAACTCTTTGATGCATGCAGTGACATGATTCTCATACCTGAGTAAGTCACTCACGCTGAGGTCATGACGTGTTGCATCTGATTTGAAACCGTTGAGAATCTTCTGACATTACCAGATTTCAAAATTGAAGTTCACATGATGCACCAAGAACATTGGCAAGTGAACTGACATCTGAAAAACCGCAAAAGCCTACAACTGCACGACTGAATCACTCAAGTGTCCATGCTATTTTTTGTCAGCAATGGGCACGACCTCAAGCATACTCCGGCATCTTTCGCCAACAAGTGTGGCAACATGGAGTGTCGAATCTTGTCTCCTGCACGCTCTCGTAACGGCTGGGCTCAGCCACCCTTCCGCAAAGCATGATCCTTTGATTCTGCAGTTCCATGAGGTGCAACGTTTTGAGTTTCCTGTGCTGCAAGAGTTTCAACTGGTTTGGCACTTTCGGCGGATGCACTGGCCGTCTGGCACTGCTGAGCTCAGCGGCTTCCTCATCTGAGCTGGACGAGGTGGTGGCAACTGAACATCCACTGTCCTCTGAGCAAGTGTCCAAGTCAATCACCTCGCTGCTATCGGCCAGTTCCCAAACGGATCCAGAGGCCTCAACCTTGCATTCAAGAGCTGCATGGGGACCTTCTGAACTCTTGTCACATGGCTCCACAGGTTTCAGCCAGCCATCATGAAAGGTGCTGTTGGCTGTGTCATCAACCGGGTCTCCAAAACCAAGACTTGGAGCATACGAAAATTCACTGTGAGCCCCATCGTCAAAATCTGGTGCTGTAGCAAAAGGCCCAGGAAATCTTCCACTGCAAGAAACGCCCTAGCCGCACCTCCAAGAGCAGCTTCTCGAGCATGCGCAATGGACGGCCAAGGCCATCACGAGCGTACACCAAGGCTGAGCGCACGGCCGAGGTGTGACCTCCAAGCACTAGCCGATCCTCCCAGGGCAATCCTCTTTTCGAGCACCAGGACAACAAAGTGCACTTGCAACTGTGCGACGTCAACCTACGTCCATCTGTCTCAATCTGAACTGAATGCAAAAGAATTGATGTCCATTGTTTCATCTCTTCACTGCTGAGGGGCCTCATACTGATACCACCGTCCTCCAAAGGTGCTGGCATAGTTGGATGGCCAGCTTCAAATGAAATTCCAAGCTCAGCACGGACCTGCGTCCAAACAGTGATCCAGCCGTCATCGACAACACCTGCAGCAGGAGCACATGCATGCAAAAAACAATTTCGAAAAGCAGTTGAATGTTTCGTTTTGTGATCCGCTATCTTGAGCTCGGCATAGGCAACCACTCCATCTGGGCCACAATCCAACAACATGGACTCAGCTTGTTGTAGATCATTCCAACGACTCCGTGAGTAAACAGCTAAAAGAATCATACCAGCCATGCAACGATCCCAACTGTCTCTGCTGCTGTCTAAAAGAACACTGTGCAACGCTACCAAGTCTGTGACCTTGAAGGGATCAGCCTGCCGCTTCGGCCCAGTGTTGCGACAACCTGACACGCCAAGACATCGCCTGGATGACGTCAGGGAGTCAAGTTCCTTAACACCCACAACATGCTGCACGAAGAGCAAAGACTGTATTATGCTCTGAATCCTAGATGCAGGGGCTCCGGCAACTCTGAGTCCATCCAAAAAATGATAAAAATCTGCTTCAGCGCCAGGAAATGCAATTCGACGGGTTTCCAAGTCTGAAGTGAACCTCAAGAATGAATGCACACGTTTCCTAAGCGTGCTGGGCGCTTTCTTCCAGAAAACATCCCTCAACATACGCAATCTCTCTGCAGTTGTTTTCAAATGCAAAAGCTGTTGAACCACGATGATACTGCAAGGCAAAAGAATCAAAACATCATGCCAACGACGTAATGCCACTTGAAAATCAGCTTCACGTTTGTCCTTCCACGTTTGTTCAGCACCTGAACGCACAATGTGGTGCCATGATAGAGGCTCTGACACACGAAGCTTCTTGGCAGGCGCCGGTTCAGCGCGGGAGGCACAAGGGACAAAAAGTGGAGGCTCTGCTACTTTCCAGTCCATGATACCATTGGGCTCAGTTGGACTCTCAAAAACTGTCTTCCAGAATCCATGTTCCCAAGGCAACTTCAAAGAACTGTCAGCAGGGCACTCAGCCCAAATGCGATAAAAATCCATCAACGACCCCCCATGCTATTTGGTTTTTGGTTTCCTCATAAAAATTTGAGGTCCCACCCACCCACACCTTGAAAGAGTATGTTGCGGACACAACATAAAATGAAGTGGATTCAGTATTATAAAAATTGACAGAGACACAAACCTTGTTCAAAAACATGGAACACAGTTTGGTGTCACAACATGAAACACATCTCAGCACTGAAAGACATTCACTGCCAAAGTGTTTTCACAAAAAGCAGTGTTTGAGGTTTGCAAAAACACAACAAACCGCAGAGCAACACGCTGACGCGTAGAAAAGCGAGGACAGCGAAGTAAAGAGGAGTACCTTTACATTACGGAGACGCGGCGCACACGCAGTGCAGAAAACATCTGCACAGCGAAGACAACAGACCTTGCACAATAAGGCCATCATCTTTTTCAAAGAGTTCAGGCATATTGAATCAACATATCCTGAACAACTGACATCCTTGTTGCAATCAAACTGCCAGTTTGCGAACTGCCCACCCATGCCAGCTGAAAACGTTCCCTGACTGAGTTTTGTACTTTCCTTGGGTCACGCTGTTTACCGATACAACGGCGCAGCACCTGGTTCGTCACCTGAACCCGTTTTGATCCACGCAGCAATCATTGAAACAACATTGCTGTCAATATTTTGGGAAAGGAACCATCGTGTAGCCCATGGTCACCAGCTTTGCACTGCGCCTGGGCAGAGCGTCAAAATATGTCAAAATCATCCACTAAGATGCGGTGCACAAATATATCGCAAGTCATGTTAACATGCCCATGGGTGAAACGGTCAAACGTTTCAATGGTTATTCAAAACCAGAACTGAAAACCATCACATGCGCCTGGAAGAAAGACCCAACTTCATCGACTCATCAACTAAGAGAATCCCAGAGCCGAAAAGCCATCGCGCACCATCCAATCACAGCAAAAACTACACGACTGTGCGTCCAATAACAAAAACAGTAGCAAAACATCAAAGAATAAAAAAAACATAAACAATATATATAATTCTCTTCATGGGCGCCCCAAAAGTCACACATGCGAGGAATTCTCTCCGAGGGATGCTGCCGATGATATGATATGACATGACATGACACGACATGACATGACACAACCTGAGAAGAAAAAATGTGACATTACATGATATTGAACTCACTGCAGCCACTTCCTTCTTTTGGCCAGGCTGGGTCTTTGTCCCAAAGTGTTTGAAATGCATCTGACGAATCATTCGTTCCAAGTGCCTACTTTTGGCACACGAAAGATCAAGGAGGAAATCATGTAGTTTGCAATTCTGCAAAGTTGATGATTCAACCAGTCCCAGAAGGAGGAGGTTGGGGTGGCTGGAGGTACCTGATGAAGAACTTGAAGAAAGACGGCCATCATGTTTCGTGTCTGAATCTCCATTCAGTGCTAGTTACGTCGTGGTTTCCCACCCTAAACCCTCCCATGGAAAACTTAGTCCTACGCTCGCGTGAAGTTTTCTACAAATTTAGTTCGCAAAACGCCACGCCAAAATATGTATACACTTACTTAGCGTGAGGCTATCGCCACGGTATACATATAAACAATATCCAGAAAAACGCGTTATATATATAACCCTGAGCAAGTGAATGCAGTTGACATGAAATCGGAAACACATCACAGCTGAAACGGACTGCCACCTTTTTACATTCTCTTTTAAAGAGTAATGGGTTGGATGCACACCAAGGCTAACGACAGCCATTTGAGTTCCGATGGCACCGAGTCGTAAAGCCCCCTAAGGTGTGGGACGGTGGGCTAAAAAAGTTGCACCAACCCTAACCGATTGATCCACTGAGAAATGTGACGGATATCAAATAAACATCATTGAAGTGCTGTACAATTTAAAGGAATCCAGAGTTTTGTTTGTACAGTAAAACTGGATAAATTCCGAAAGAGGTGAAATAAGATCCAGTAGAAAAACAGGTAGTTGTGGTTTTACCGGATGGGATTTACACCATCATACCTCAAATACCTGTTTACCTTCCAGTATCCCAAAAAACCTTTTCCGGTAGAACAAGGGTGTCCTACAAGGTCGTTTTGGTTTACGATTTGGAAGTAGATTCAAAACTTCCGAGTTTCCAATAGGAAACATACACCTGGGACACCGCGAAACGCAGGACCGCGTGGGAGAGTAGAGGTAACCGGAGTAAGGAACCGAAACACGCTACAAGGTCAATACCGGACCCAGGAAGCGTATTACTTACTCACAAACACACAGTCGCAACACGTCGCGAATGCGTGCTAGTTACGTCGTGGTTTCCCACCCTAAACCCTCCCATGGAAAACTTAGTCCTACGCTCGCGTGAAGTTTTCTACAAATTTAGTTCGCAAAACGCCACGCCAAAATATGTATACACTTACTTAGCGTGAGGCTATCGCCACGGTATACATATAAACAATATCCAGAAAAACGCGTTATATATATAACCCTGAGCAAGTGAATGCAGTTGACATGAAATCGGAAACACATCACAGCTGAAACGGACTGCCACCTTTTTACATTCTCTTTTAAAGAGTAATGGGTTGGATGCACACCAAGGCTAACGACAGCCATTTGAGTTCCGATGGCACCGAGTCGTAAAGCCCCTGGTCCGATGGTGTCATCGATTTACCAAGGGCCCAGTCCTTCTTTCCTTCTCTTCTTTGTATTTTGCTCCACAGGTGTGGTTTCCGATTTCCTCTTCTGCATCTCCTCGTGAAATTCCTTTGCATGCAATAAGAAATCCGAAAGAACATGCCATGTCTGCTCAAAGGGTTTCCAACGCACACGCAAACTCAAGTCAAAGCTATCAAACTTCATGTTGGATAGGTCGTCAGCTAATTGGTTCTTGTCTCTCCTCAACCAATCAAGCAACAAACAGCAATTGCCGATTCTAAGTGACTCAGAGAGCTCCATCACCAGTACCGTGAGCGGGAACTTGGTGCTCATCCATTTCGCTATTGCATATGAGTTCCCCAAATTGTCTGTCTTGCCCCTGATCCAACACTTCGCTTTCGAGCCCTTTGGAAAGTGCGGCATCCAAAGTTTGACAGCTACAAGAGTTGCAAGAAGTTCCAAGGAGGCAATCAATCTCTTCGGATCCTTTCTAAGTTTCAACCAGCTGGCCCAGTCAGCCGTGATCTCTTCCGAGAACCAAGCCAAAATTTTGCCATGCTTATCTTGTTGATATCCACCTATCCAGGCTCCATCTTCTGTCGCCCTCGCATCTGTGAAGAAGAGCAACTCCTCTTCCACTTCACCTTCAACTTTCAAGGGTGGAGGTTCCTGCAATTGGCCTCCTTCTTTGAACCTTCGTGCAAGAAAAAGTAATATGGCCCTGAGCATTGCCGGCAGCTTCAGCTGTCCCCTCTTGTTCCTCGTAGCCGCAGCCCAACTGTAGAGCGGCCCCAGGAATGGCTTCTCCCAGTGTAGTGCAAGTGCCGCAAAGCCCAATCGCCCCAAGCCTTGCTCAAAGAATTTTGCGGTGGTGTTGCCTTCCTTCGCAAGCTTTAAAACCCAGTTACACATCCAGTCGGCTCTCCTGGGGGAGAGACCAAGCTTGTAAGTAGTGTAGTCTGTATACAGACCTATCCACTCAACGCGCAAACCACCACGTTGCTTTGCCCACTTGAACGGGAAACCCAAACAAGAAAGAAAAAGGAAGGCCAGTGTAATGCCTCTCCGACCACCAGGGCTAGCAGCTATGGCCTCAACATCATCCGCAAAAATCAAAAGCTCAATTGGCATCTGTGGCCCCAAGAGTTCGTGTACCAGTCTGACGCCAGACCCCGCTATCCTTGACCACCAGTAAGAAGCACATGCCAGTCCAAAAGTGCCCACATTGTTTACATATATATAGGGGTCCTCATCGCTCACACGACACGCTAGGAGACCACGTTCTTCGGGTGCATGAAGGAAACGTCTGTGAGCTTTGCTGATATCACCTACAAGACTGAAAACCGAGGCCCTGAGCATCTGGAAATAGGCCAACAAGTATTGCTTCTCCCTAGCACTTGGACTCCTCACCTTATCTCTGCACCTGATACGATTGTTGACCTTTGTACCATGGGTCGCATCATGGATGACTCGCCTCTTCCTTTGGTGGTTTTCTTCCACCAGCACTGCCAGTGAGGATATGGCTAAACGGCCACCAAATTTTTGCTTTGCCTCTTCCAGTGTGAGCCTCTCCATCAAGCCCTCGTTGCATTCCTCTTCAAATTGCTGTCTAACAAAGCTCTGGTGGGCCTCTACAGACTGATAGTTGGATCTCCAAACCTCCTCTTGCATGTGCGGGTCATCTTCCAGTTTCCATGTTGTCTGCTCTTCAAAGACGTGTGGGGTCCTTGGGAGCGGTATGTCCACCCCTACCGGAAAGCCTCGCTCTCCCTGCATCAAGAATTCTCTGTCCACATCACCAGAGAAAGCAAGTAGCTCCTTGAGAAGCCTTAAGTAAAAAGGTTGCCCCGGTGCCTTGAACTCCAGGTCCTCTTGAGTGCTACCGTGCTGTTGTAGCTTCCTAACCCAGAGTTTTCTGATGCTGTCTTTGAGGACTTCATCACATACTATGTCACATCCCTGCTCCCCCTTCACCGCCATCTCAAAACAAGCACGGTCCAGCTTCCTGTCATCCCCCAGGTGTTGTAATATCAAATCTAATGTCTCGCTGCGCAACTCTGTCCAAAAACAATTTTTACTCCAAACTCTTTTGTCGATGTCCCACCTCCCCATTGAAGGGAGTCCTGCCCCGTCATGAAAAAATCTTTCCCTACCAGGTTGCTGACATTGTCTGGGCTGTCCAATTCCTCCGAAAAGTGTGTCCCCATCCGGCTGTGAAATGGGAAAATCTGTCCTGTCTGAGTTTGTCTTGTCCCCATCTTCAGCGATGACAGGACTTGCTCTTCTGCGCAGTGTAATTTTTTCCAAAATAGTTTTTGCAACCCATTCACAAAACGATGAAGGCCATTGTTCTGAACCCGTTGTTGCAAAAACAGAACCTGCTGCTCCTACCAGTTGTCTCTGTGCCGACCGCGCCTGTAGTGGCCCCTTATAAAAACCTTGTTCATCAAAGCATGGTTGTCCTTTGCAGAAGGCTCCATGCACATTGTCAACATTTGCAAGTAGGAGTCTAGTGGGCTTCAAATAATCGGTTCCAAAATCCAGTTGATGAAAAGCCACTGTTGTCACCTGCTCCAACTGTAACAGTGATGTGAACTGTTCCCATTGCCACATGCTTGCAGGCCTAACTCCATAGTTTTCTCCGCTGCGCATGGCTCCCAGGTCCTCCGGGCTTTCAAAAATTGCAATGCCCTGTTGTTTCGCTTGCAGCTCAAAGCCCTTGAAAGTGAAGTCTGCCATGGTGTTCCCCCACAACGCTCTTTTGCGCTCGGCCCATGTGAGTCTACTTAGGCCTCTGGGGAATCTGTATGATCGGACCGGTCTTGGTCCACGTCTGTTCGCCCAAACCACTCTTGAGAAGGTACTGCACGGTGGGCTGAATAAAACTGCATCATAACGTCCTGAAGCTATTTTGTTTAACAAGCGCTGTTGGACATCTTTTTGTGTGAGGTCCAAGAACGGCCGCACTTGTATGTCGACCATTTCAACCTCGACTGCAACACCATATCCTTTCGAAAGTTTGCGCAGCCATGATGAAACTGAATTCTTCCTGGGTCTTCCAGAAAAAATATAAAGAACCCTGCAAACTTGCTTCGAAGTTGAGTCCTTACTGCATGCAGGCTGGTCCACCTTTGGTCAGTGTGCCCCGGTCGTGTCCGGGGGGCTCTTCTCCTCTTTGCAATTCAAGGCGTCGTGTCCCTT